ACTGGCTGGAAAAATGACCCCACAAGAAGGTAAAAATAAATTTTACTACGGTATTATTCGCAAGCCAAGCAAAATTTTTCGGACGAAAAGAGCTAATCTATTTTTAATTTCTTACGCATAATTTTTAATTTCTTGCGCAGGCATCTCTGCCAAAATTGCACAAAACTCCAAAGTTTCAAGTTAGCCACTTTTTTACCATTTCTCTCTAAAAGTGAAATTTTTATTAATGTTTTTATTATTAAAACTTTTGCTAGCCCATATGTACATATACATATATGTATGTACGTACGCCTGGACCTTCGGCATTCGCCTTTTCAACTGTCCACTTTATCTCTTTGGCTATTGTTTCACGTCCGTCCGTTGGTGTTTTTGTTTTTGTTTCAAATATGCTTTAAGGTATTTGAGATATTCATAGATGAATGCCAAATGTTTGGTATTTTATTGTAACAACAAAACCAAGAGCTGGAGTTGCTTCAGCATAATTTCATAGATACAAATATACATACATATACGTACTTACACATACTTACGTACATATGTATCTACGGACATGTGACCCTGCATATTCATATGTTGGTGTATGTTTGCCTTGTGTCCATTACAATATTTTTTTTTTTCAATTCGTTAACGAAAGTGACTTTTGACTATTTTTAACTGAAATACGCTCGTAGTAAATGTGGATTAATGGCGCTTGAAAACGCAAGTAAAGCATTTTTCATTATTTTATTTTTAAGTTAAGGGCTTTTTGTCTTTGTTTTGTTTATGTAGTTTTGTTATTTCTTTACTCGCCTTTTGTATCTCTAATTTTATTGAGTTTGTTCAAATATGAGCGATTTTAGGAAGTTGCATAGTTGAAATTAAAAAGCTACCTTGGTAGAAATATTTTTGTAAATTCTGTGCTCGTTGTGCTTGCTGAACAAAAATGCTCGAATTTTAAGATTTTTCCCCCCACAATAGCTGCCAACTGCTAGCAACGATCAAAGTTTGTAGATCCACTTAGATAATAACAAAACAAAGAACTAATTATATAACTCATTTAACTATTATATTAGACTAACTCCTCAACGAGAAGTCGACCATCGAGGTTAGTAGTCGCAATGGAACAATAAATCGAGATATTAGAGTGTTAACCTTACCGTTAAAATTGGATTATATTTACTGTACGAAGTGTTACCCCTCAGCCACCATGAATAAAATATTCGCACAACATTTCCATCACGAGGCAAGATTTTTAAGCCGATGAGCAAGATTGAGCCCGAGTTGATTACGTACATTGCTGGTAGACTACTGGCTTTGCAAGCGGTGATCGGTGGTTAAAATCTCTATGTATTCGATGAGGGTATTTGGTGATCATCCGAAATGGCAGCGATAACATCTATCACATGTAAATTATGGTCGTATTTCTCACAATGAAATGGCTAAATTAAAATTGCTATAAGGCCAGAAACCAACAAAAAAAGGACGAAAGGAAATAAGGGAAAATATCCTGCTAAAGTTAAATGCCCTGACTACATAGCCTCAACATTTGCTCTGAGTAATTACTTCCGCATAGGGGTCCTATGGGAAGGCAAGCTAGAATTAAACCTCTAAGCCGATTCAATTCTTGGTCTACATGCATAGCTTCTCTGATATGTGAATTCTGAATGTGATAAAACTACATACATGAAGGCTAGTCGTGTGGTGTAGATAAGCTACCATTGAATTGGCAAATAGGCTTATAACTTATAATATCATTATTCTAAGGTAACTGCATGACAGATGAACTAGCGAGAAAGGATCAATTCCGCTCCCCCATTCCCTATGCGGATCTTGAAAATTCTAGCTAGAGAAAAACTTTATAGAACAGGCGAATAGAAGAGGCCACGTGCAGGACATTAGAACAAATCCAACTTGGATAAGAGAAAGTCTAACTCACTCTCTCGACTGTTATGGGTTCGCGTGCTAACATAATTGGCATCTGGCGCGGAGAATTTTATATCTGTTGTTTTATTTATGACTCTTAGCATAAGCATTTAGAGGCTTGAAATCCTGAATGCCAAACAGAAGTCGGACAAATTATTTAAATTTAACCATAAACGAGTCACCCACAAACGATGATACCTATAAATTTATTTAACAATTTACTTCGGTGCATTTAAGCACAATTTCGAAATTCTTAAGTGCATATGCATATAGTAGATATGTATGCAAGTATAAGTTCGCATGTTGAAATGATTTAATAAATACTTCGCTCTGAGTATATTTTTATGTCTGCAGCATACATTTACTACTAACATACTAAATACATACGTCAGTTCCAAATTAGCAATTCAGTTAAGAAAAATGCGTTTAGTTTTTTTATTATCTTCTTCTGTTGCAAGTGTCTGAGGCAGTGGTTAAGTATTTAGAGCTATTGCTTTGCTTAAAGTTTGTTAAGCTTGGTTCCAAGTCAGTTGCCCAAAAGTTGGCAGATATATAGTACCTTTGCACATGCATATACATATGTACATGTATGTAACTGAGTGAGCTTGAGCAGACATTTAACTAAGTACAAACCTACCGCTGATAGCCTTCACACTTGATTAGCAGACTTGGTTTTCAGACAAATGAAATATTTTGTCGTAGTAAATTTTGGCCTTTTATTGTTGCGGTTGTTTTTTTTATCACTTTTCGTTTCATTAAGTATTTGCACATACATACATACATTTATCTGTGTGTTTAACTGCATTTGTCCGACTGACTGATGGCTTGCATGTCTTTGCGAATAAATGATGGATTTGATTGTTTGCTTGCCATCTGTCTGTATCCATTTCAGTGTGTCGAATGCATTTAAACTTCTGTCAGTCTGGGGTGTCTGCCTGAACGGTGTTCATTTGTTCGCAGTGACAGGGAAATAGCTTAGACAATTTGTTACTAATTTTATTACGAAACATTGTTGAGTTGAGTTGTTAATTGACAAAGGAGACAAAGTTGCTTNAATTTGTTACTAATTTTATTACGAAACATTGTTGAGTTGAGTTGTTAATTAACAAATTTGCAAAGGAGACAAAGTTGCTAACATTGCTGCAGTTTTATGCTAATTTATATCTGTAAACAAATATTGTGCACACACATATTCAAATAGGGTGTAGAGCTTTAGCTGCAATTAGCGGCTCATTAGAGGCTTCTTTGCTAAAAAAAAAAACTACCTTAACGGACTTAATTTTCATTGGGGAACTTTTTTCAGCCAACGGCACTCGTGTGAATTCAGACTACTGATGTGTTCTTACAGAAGCAAATTGTGCCCTTTCCGTTGATCCGGTGAATTTGCACCATGAACTATCCCTCTCTATCTCCGTTTTGTTTTTATGCCGAATGGCTTTAGGCTCTTCATCGTTTTATCAACTACCCAGAAGTAATTTACAGGCACTACGAGTCCTTCCTAAAATTATTTAATCTGTTAGTAGGCCCATAGTCGGGGGGAATTCCCCCTTCTTTCTTTCTTTCTTCTGGTGGCAAGGACTTTCCATCTTATACCGACTACTGAGTATAAAAATTCTTGTAAATTGAGCTTAAAGATAGTCAGTGGCATGTCGAATCTCCTCCAAGGCGCAAAGTGTGGAAGGGAAGTAGCTTTTCCTAGTTGTTCCTAGTACATGCCTTCGCCGACATTGTTGTTCAGTTGGAATCCGTCTGAGTAGAAGCGAATAGAATCAATGGGTCCCAGAATTTCCTGGATAAATTGCTTAATGCTAAGGATCCCTACTTTAAAACCTTGTCAAAGATTATGGTGGACACGATCAGTTCGTTATTTGAGGGAGGCAGGGTGGACGATTTCTTAGATAAATTAGACAACCACTCCATACAAAAGACTGACCACAATATTTACAGCCCTATATTGGAGAATATGTCATATTTTCATACTATTAGGCCTTTTTAGGTATAAAGGCTGCTGTAGCTTTCCGCCTACATTTTGATGTGTTTAGTGACCAATGTTACTTCTAATTCAGTATAAATCCCAAACATATCGCAGATTTTGTAATGTGCTGATTTGTAATGTTGCTGATTTTAATTAAATAATACAGGTTTCGTTTTGCTCGGGTTTACTTCTAGGTCGTTCTCGTTGGGCCAATGATTCCTTTAAGCAGTAGGGTCCTTGCCAAGATTTATATAAGAGGAGGTAAGTTTTGTTGTCGTTGTTGAATCCCCGGAGCTGCTTGGTTGGCATAGAGCCAATGCTTGACAGAATAGTCACATTATATCAAAGACTGTCTCTAGAGGTCGCTCTGTGCAGACAATGGAAGCAAATTATCAGGAAATAACATCTATTGTCGAAGGCGAAGGGGCATCTCGAGAAACTCTTTAGAAAAATGTATTCTTTTAAATTTGTCAATTCAATAAAGTGTAAATCTGAAGAAATCAGTCCGAACTTCGATTTAGATACATATGAATTATAGAGTTCTGCGTTGACCTATCAAATTTTGTTCGATTCAAGGCACTATATCATATAGCTGTCATATATCAGATCTGCTTGACTTACATTAACTTCGATGTTTTTGATGCTATCGACTTGAAAATCATTTGTTTACGTAATAAGGAGTTCTGAGTTGGTCTATAAATTTTTCTTTTTGATTTAATGTTATGCTAGTTTTTTTCCTCAACATTACAAACTTACATTACTTTGTTTTAAATTTCATATAATTTATTTTCATACAATGTTTGTACTACAAATATCCACTAAGGGATGTATGAATTTAATTTATAACAAGAATATAAAAAAAATTGAACTTTTGTAAAAACTTTTTAAAATTTTTTCATCAATTTATTTTTTAAGCTATTTCGAGAGGTTACCATTTTTTTGAGAACCGATACCGGTAAAATACCCTAAATACTCAGAACCGCTAATTTGTATGCATTTACATAAGTATGTGTACATATGTATGTAGGTATATTTCGTCAATACGTGATACATATGTATGCGAACACTTAAATATTTTTTCCTTTTGCCCCAAAATATACTTAATTTCTTGCCCGAAACTCACCTGCAGAATGAAGCCGATTGAACAGATGATAAACCACGAGAAGTCTCTTATGGCATCCGCCCAACTCCAAACGCTGCTGAGGAAGGATTGCGGCACCGGCGCTGGTGCAGCTGCCAAATGCCCGTTAGGCAAATGACCATTCGAGACGCTGCCATTGGCTTGCACATTGTTGTTATTGTTCTCCATTTTCAAGCACTTTTTCAATTAAATTTGTATTTACTAAAATTTTATTTTATTTTATAGACACTTCAGTTTCATTAACGTTTGCTTAACGGCGATTTGTTCTACTAAATTTCTGGGTTGTTGCTGTTTTTTTTTTGGTTTTTTCGTGAATATTATCCAAATAGAGTACTGCACTTTACGGGATTTTCAGTTTTTTTCAGTTGCTTCGTAAGTTCTTTGAATTACATACATATTTCATATCACTCACCGAAATTTTTCAAAAAAACAGAAAATATTAACACAAAACACAAATAACCGGAAAAATAGAATCTCAACTATTTTTTCTTGTTCACGCCTTCACGCCAAGTTTGTTCAAAAATTTCGCAAGGAGTTTCGAAAATGTGACTGGCACAAATGCAGAAGAAAAACAAAACCAAAGTCAATTCGAAGTCGGTATCGAAAAAGAACTGTTCGACCATGTGCGTACTTCTGTCGATGGGTGAGTGTGTGTCAGTGTTTGTGTCCAGGTGGGGTGGTTGTGGATTTTTACTTCGCAGACTTTTTCGAACTACACTGACTGACTTCGTTGCGACCGAAGGAGCTTGTATTTTATGCAAACCGTTTGACTTTCCGCGCTACACGTCCGCTCTGCTGAGCGTAAGAAACTTTTGTGTTCACTAAATCGCGTCGAGCGTCACTAGACTTCTCCGTTCGACTGGCAGCGTGCAGCTCACTTTTGTGTGGCTTTCAATTTTTCTCGACGCAACAAAAACAACAAAAGCACCAGCAGAGACGGGGATCGGTAAAAAGGCAGCCCCAAGAATCAACAAACTAAACAAAAAATACAAAGCAAAAAAAGCTTAGCTGCCCGACGACCACTCTGTGCAGCTGTTGTGTTGGTCAAAGCTTAGCTCAGCTGCTCAGGTGAAGCGGCGGCGGCGGCGGCGGCGGCGGCGGTAGTGGGCAAGCCAAACTCAAGCTTAAGCTGACAGTGGCTATTAGCGCAGAGCGACACAGCGCCGCGCCGCGCCGCGCCGCTCCAATTAAAGCCGGATTGTGACGTCACCCGGCTGTTGTATTTCGCTTTCATTTGACTTCTGTCTCGCAGACCGCCGCACTCTGCTCTCGCCCTCTGCTTGGCTTGACTTTGTTTGTACGCTTCACCGCTGTTTACTTTACTACTTCAGTTTCAATCTCAGCCACGCTTGCGGTTTACAGCTGATCGTTGCTGTTGTTCGGTCTTCTTTGATTTTTGCTACTTCCAATTGCTTTCTGTTTTTCTTTGCCACACTGCCGACCACAGCTGATCTTTGTTATTAACCGCTTCGGCTTTGCGCGCCAAAATCGTAGTGCCAGCCAGCAAGCTGCGGCCTCTGCGGTGTCTCCCTAGCTAGACCTTGAAAGTTGATTGTTTTGTATGCCATTTCCCTTTCTTTCTTCAGCAGGTTTTCCTTTCATTGCTTACTTATTTACGGGCAAGCTTGGATAAGCATTTAAGTTTGCGCCGCCTTTTTCTTCGCGGGCTGATTTATTTAATTACTCAGTTACGGTTTCGTTTTCTGGTCTTTTGTTTTGCCGTTTAAGCTGGTATTTTGCCATTGTCTTCGCTTTACTTCTGGCATAATTTGTTCCGTCAGTCAAATTGTTTGCTTTTCTTTTGTTTTTGTTGTTGGCTTGATTGTGGGAAGACAGATCGCGCTTGACCAACTTCCATTGTTTTGAAGTGCTTCTGCCATTGTGGCGAGTCCGCTAATTGCTGTTTGTTTATTTGTTAATTGCGTACATAATTTGAAATTAATTTTTAATTGACATGAGGAAGGAAAATGATGGATGTTAATTGTGGTTTACTGTGTTAGCTGTTATCAATTCTCTTTTTCTTGTTTTATTTTGCAGAGAAGAGATGCAGCTCAGAATTTCTCTCAAATGTCGTTCCTATTACCAACCCTACTAGTATAAACAATGTTGCCAGATTCACAGTTTTAACTGTAAATTACAGTTTTTTGGCAAGCTTACATTTGTTTTTTATACCTCCTAATGTTCAGTATACAGTTTTTTTTCGAAATGTGTTGAGAGAAATATTTTTAGCTGTTCTGTTTCTGAGTGTCCTAGGCGATACAAAATGCCGCCTCTCGTACTCTCGAACTAGATGTTACCACTTTTACTTTCAAATGCCAAGTTTTTAGGAGCAAGACTTATAAACCCGTCACAACCCGTTGTTGTTATTGTTGTAACGGCACTACTAAGCCACGCCTATTTCGGTTCATCCTCAAATCAATATCGTCAAGCTCAAAACACGGTAGGCCCAGGAAACGGGCTGTTTCAATAGGGTCGGACCAAAGGGAGAGGGGTGGTGCATGTGAAGAGGTGGTTGGTGTCGTGCGGACAGTATCCACATGCCGAACACTCATTGGGGATATTGGGATCGGGTCTGCACAAGTAGCTGTTGAGGCGGCTACAGTATCCAGACCGTAACTGAGTCAGGGTAACGCGGGTCTCTCTTGGCAGGTGAAGTTCTGCGTCTGCTACAGCTGGTGATTTGGCTCCGATCACGGCATTCATAGGCCGGGAGTCGTGGCAGGTGGTGACCAACTCCTTATGAATGTCCTTGATCTTTGTATACTATTAATAAAACAACGTTTTCTATCAGTTAGTTATTGAATTTTTCGGTATTTGAATAATAGTCGGCATATCTAACTACTCGACTACGATAGTCAAAGCCTTCTCCTCATAAAAAAAAAAATATTGATAAAATTTCTTCACAAATATTTTCTGAAAAAACCATATTTGGGCGTTAAATGTGCTTTCTTATAAGGATTGTCATAATAAGAGCTTTGACAAAGTTCATAGCGCCAACCTTAGTGGTTTGTACCCGAATAAGCTTTTTAACATGGATAGAAATCGGTAAGTTTATATGGCATCACAACGGGCCTATTCGGAAGCGTTGTATCCACAATTTTCGTTATCAGAGACCGCAAGCGTTGCGTCTTTCGAAACGAAGAACAGATTCTAAGTGCACATAGCCTATATATAGGTAGATTTGATGTCTTGATTGCATCTGCATAAACCTCACTGTACCAACTGCAAAGAAATCCTAGATCCACCTACCGATCATTATTGGCGTTGTAACCGCCTAAGCGATTTTGGTCGAGTCTAAAACAGAAGGCCAGTCATTTCTCTTCTGAGCCAACGGACACCAATTGGACTCCTTCCTCTACCTCTGTTTTTGCAACACCTCGACTAAAAATTGGTTCTGATCGCATTGTATGAGCCATAGATTCATCAATCAATATATTTTATTGCACAGTAAATGGTTGTAGTACACATCATCAGCTCCGGTCTGGTTTTCGGCTTTTGTCCTCCTTCCGAAGAAATTGTTGGCTATATCTGCTAGATAAAATAATGCCAGAATCTTTGCATTGTTTCTAGCAGAGACTTTGCTAAATGTTCTACGATACTGCCTGAAAACTTTGAGTATTTGGTTTAGTCTGCAGAAAGCCTTAACGAACGCACACACAGAAAGCACAGCGATGCCGATCGAAACCGGCCCGAGAGGAGTGCAGCTTTTAAATTGCTGAGGCTACATACATATATGAACGTTTTCGTACAGCAAGCTTTTCCAGAAGCTTTGAACTTGAAAGCAAAGCGGTTATTGACTTTTGGATTGTGCTATTTAATTTTTCAGCTTCATGAATAACAATGCAAGTATTTTCCGGGAAAGCAATGAAGCAAATACTAAAATATTTTTTGCCGCTTTTCGTTACAGGAAGGTGTTCTAATATATTTGCATCCTATTCATGGAGAAGAGCTCCGCTCTCTCTCATTCAGTGTGAACACCGCAGCTCCGCATTCTGTGTGTACGCACGCACCCCTAGAAATACGCCTATGAGCTGATATAGATTGAGATCTAAACAGTTTATTTTCCGCTTAAACAATACGTTTACATACTTGGATTGAGTCAAAGTTCTTCGAAGTTGCACCGCGCCTTAAACTTATCCTTGGTTTCTACACAAAACGTCCCAATAGATTTTTCTAACGCTGCCACACAAATTTCGTCAGCGTAAGCTTGAATGTTATTGACAAGATTGGCAGTATAAAGCGGCGCCGGATATTAGGTAGTGTCTTAGAAAAATTGACCTTGAAATATAAACAGGTTTTGCATCAAGTATGTATTCTTACGAAAATGTTTAGAATCAAAAACTGAATAAAAAATGGGTTAGCTGGAGTACCACAACAAACCAGTAATTTAGCATAAATAAGGCAGAAGGTCAGACGTACAAAAAATCTAAAATTATAGTAATTAAAAGTAGTTAACATGAAAGCAGAATTTACGGCTAGACGACAAGAATAAAGCAAAAAATGTTTTGCGAATTTTTTTTTTTGTGAGTATGAGTATATGTATAGTGTTTGACATTAAAACAGGATTTGTTTTGCTATTTTTTGTTTTGAATTGTTAGAAAATATTAATTTTGATGGCGCGTTTAAAGCTTTAAGATAAATGGTTTAATTTTATAAAGTTAGTTGAGCTCATCATTTCGAAGGTTATTATCTGGTTATTTTAAATATGAATTATAATTGGATATGTAATTTTCATCTCTATGTACATAAATATGTTAAAAAATTATACAATACTTTAATTAAGCGCACAGTAAGGTCACGTTAGGGAATAGCTTGTCCTTAACGCGTAGAATATAAGGGAGGCGATATAAAGCCAAAGGACAAGTGTGGGTAAGGAATCAGTTTCCATTGGCTGTGACCTCACCGAAACTGCAATGTGGGTACTTTATTGTGATTATAGATTTATTTAAAGAAACATAGAGAAATTATGATAATTATTATTATTTTTTTTAATTCACTGATTTGTTTTCGAAAGTGTTTATATGAAATTTTTGCATAAGAATTGCCATAGATGTATAAATAACATAGATAAGTATCTTCATATATTTATACCATGTATGCACTTAGTCTGTCTTTGTCACTCTATAATCAAGTTATGCAAATCCAATCAATACCAACAAAAAATGTTGTGAATATACATATGTATGTATAAACATCGACTAGCTCACCAATATTTAAAAACAAAAAAACACATAATTTAGTTAATTTTGAATATGCAAGCGCATTCGTTTTGGTTTTTTTTTTCGTTTGGTCTATTAGTTAAACTTGGGTATGATGCGCGTGCCGCTGTGGGTTCAAGAAACTCCTTAGCTAACATAGAGGTCAGCAGCTAGTAGAACAGCAATTATTGTAGTTTTTGTTATTAGTTGAATCATTTACTAATTTGCCATTATTTTCGTTGGCTTGTTTTGTAGCATCGTTTCTGAGTTGGTAGACACAGATGCATAAAGAACAAAAAGCAAATTAGTTTTTTTGTGAAGATCTACTTTTTCGCTAGTAATTATTGCATTTGTAAAGTTTTGCTTTTTTTTTTGTTCTTAAACCATATAAGCAGCTACGGAATATTTCGTTGGTAAATTTGTAATAAATAGAAAAAATGACTCAGCTGTATCAACACGACAAACCGAAACCACTAAATGCACTCGCATCAAAGTCATCTTTGTTGCAGCTGATGCCAGAAACTTCCTTCCGCAAAACTTTGATTTATTTCATTTTTTGCAGTGGCCACATTTCAGCGCACCTCGGATTTGCATGTCACGATTTCTTAGAACATTTGTTTTCCTTGTGTTGAGGTGTTATTAGTACCCTATCTGATATCTTATTAGTATTTCAAACCACTACTTAATTCTACTCCTTTTATTTCGCTATTAATTCTTTAAGTTTTGCACAATTTTCCTGCATCAAATTTTTTTAATTAATCTTCGTTGTACTTCACTTTACAATAAACTCAGCTGCAATGACAAATCTCTACAATACACTTCTATGTGACATTTAACGCGCATGCGCAGTAATTGCGTTCTGCTGGCAAGGCTGACATCTTTGTTGGTTTCTGCAGTGTTATGGTTCAAGAGGGTTGTTTTGACGTCTTTATGGCCACTGAGCTAAGGGAGTTTACTTGTTGCAATGACTCATTGTGGAGTGCGAACAAAGTAATAGCGGATACAGGGTGAGTAAACAATGAGGCAGAATTATTCCAAGCATGCACTCTTAAATTTTCTCGAACATTGGTACAACGCTTTGGCCACTACTGAAGAGCACAAAATGTGCAAAGCCTTCAAAACCGAACGATATGATGGTCACCGGAAAACTAACGAAAGCCATTCGGAGCCATTCGTAGCGAATACTTTGGCGAACACTCCAGAAAAAAACGCTTCAAAATTCTGGGGGACCACTACTTCGAGAACTTCAAAAGCTTAGGGCAAACTCTAGGGCCAACTAGGATTTGCTAGAAGTACCGGATGATTTGAATGTAAGTAGTGGTAGGAATGGCGAACCTAGAAACGAAACGCTCCCTTCACAACAGATGAGGATGCAGAATAGGACAGCGGTTTACCCATCATAAAGGTTGTGAGAAATATTGAGATGCCATTCAGACTGGATTAGGCATAGAACTCCGCATCCCAGTGTCATCAAGACTACGAATATGTAAGGGACAATGCTGCAGAACGCGGGCCATAAGCTAAGGAATACCAGCAACGAAGAACTTACCACGTGCACCCCAAGAGCTTTGGGCCCTTGTATAGAAGACCCTGGAAACAGAACGTATAGGAAAGTATTTTTTATTATTGCGAAAGGAAGTTCGTTAGACTTCGCCCTATACAATGTTGTTAAATGAATAGAGGCTACTCTTCAGAATTTTGAGGACTTTTCCTACGATCTTAAATAATGTGGCAAAATATTGAAGTAACAACGAAAGGGAATCACCCTGCACGTCCGAAATGGATAAAAATAATGCTGATCTGCAGAAGAGTCTCGGGGAAAAAGGAGTGTTTATGAGATTACTAAACCAGCCAACAGAAGTACGCCACAGGGGTATACAATATGGTGGTCAACAATATGTTAAAATGGAATTAGGATCTGTTGCTTACTGCTTGCGCACATAGTGTTTCCACCATATATAGTAAGCGGGTAGTGTCTGTTCAAAGTCCAGTCATTATGAGCCAAGCACTCCGATATATCCTCGCACCTTTGGGTAACTAACTACAGTTGCGATTAGTATCAACCCAGAAAATGCAAACCGGATACTTTGTAATAAAAAATATAAGCTTAAGAAATAGTATAGACTTAAAGTAAATTGACCCTTCGGATGAAAAAAAGCATCAAGTAGCTCAGAATAATGCTCGATAGCTATGCAAAGAAGAGGAAGATAGTCTTGGTGGCGCTCTATTCTTGAAAAAATATGTACTTATGTATCTACGTGCTGGGCTGCGCATGGGGTTTGCTGGATTTATTTCC